CTGAAAGTAAAGACATTCATTTTATTTTATAAGACTACACTCCTCCAGTTTGGCAATTAGTCATTTCATCATTGCATTTAACAGATAGTATCCTAATGAATCATTATGTATTTTTTGTATTTCTCTGTATGTATTCCCCTCTTTGGCCTGCCACTGTGTAAGAGATTTGTCAACCTTGAATATCATATGAAATGTGTCATCCAGTTTAACCCCTTGATATATTATGTAACTAATATTATAAACCAAATATTAATATCCTTAGGAAAAAATATATAAAACAATATGTAAAACATCCATTTTTAAAAATGGTTTTCATTACTTAAAGCTCTGAAGACCAAAGAATTTATTCATGTCCTCTTTCTTTATAAGAAGTGTTTCTTTATATATAAAAATTTTGGCTGGTCTGAGTCTTGATTATGAAATATTAGCCAAACTCAAAAATATAAACTATTTATATATCACTTAGTAATACGTATAAGTGACGTATAATGAAATCCAACCTTTATTAAGACAAGTCAGACAGTGGCTAACGACCTCACCAATTTGCTGATTTACTTCCTGTTATGATTATGACTTAGCTAGATGATTTAGATTACCATAACATAATGCCTTATATTCATAGAGTACAGTTTCGAAAGGCCTCATTACCTACAGGTTGAATATCCCTAATCCAAAATTGAAAATGCTTCAAAATAAGAAACTTTTTGAACTCTGACATGACACTCAATGGAAATTGTTCATTGGAGCATTTCGGATTTTGGATGTCTGAATTTGGATCCAGTAAGTATGATGCAAATATTCCAAAATTTGAAAAAAAAAAATCTCACATCCAAAACACTTCTGGTCCCAAACATTTTGGATGAGGGATATTCAACCTGTCCTTACATATGTTTGCCAGATCTATAAACTGAAGCTTAGAAAGTTGGTCATTATTTTGACTTTATGCTCCTTACGTAAGGTAGTCTATGGTTAAAATGTTCATAGTTTTAAATAAAACGTAAGTGTGAATACTGCTGCTGCTTACACGGATTTTGTGAGCTGAATGAAGGGCAGCGGGCCCAGAACCACGTGACACTTTCCACAGCTCAGCTCAGCATGTTGCAAGTACTGTAATGGCCAACTTGGCTTTCCTGGAAGAGCTAGAAACACCAGGTAGTTGAATGGCACAGGGTGTGGCTTCTGGATGGCTTTTCAAAAACTCCAGTGTGCGTGCCTGGGGAAGGCTGTTCTTCTAATGTGCACTTCCACAGCTTCAGGTACACCGGTGTTGTGTATATGCAGTGCCAAATAAAACTATCATACTATCCTGTGTTATCGGCTTATCCTTTAGCCCAGGTTCTCTTTACAAGTATGGCGAATTATTTCAGTATAATGAAAAGTACACTAACAGACAGCGTAACCGTTATTGTTTAAGGTTCATTTTAAAGAACACCAAAATAATATAAAGAAGAGGAAATTTGATTATACATCATTGTTTTGCAGATGCATATTTTTAAAAATATGTTTCCTGGGCTGGGCACAGTGGCTCACGCCTGTAATCTTAACACTTTAGGAGGCCAAGGCAGGAGGATCACTTGAGACAGGGAGTTCGAGACTAGCCTGAGCAACATAGTGAGACCCTGTCTCTACAAAAAATACAAAAATTAGCTGGGTGTGGTGGTGCGTGCCTGCAGTCCCAGCTACTTGGGAGGCCAAGGCTGGAGGGTCACTAGATCCCAGGAGGTAGAGGCTACAGCGAGCTATGATGATGCCACTGCACTCTAGTCTGGGCAACAAGAGCAAGACCCTATCTCAAAAAAAAAAAAAAAAGTTTCCTGATTATACGTGGTGAACTCAGAAATTTCCTACCTCTTCTTTCACAGAGTTATAGAGCAGGAGATTTTTTTTGCTCTAAGAAATTGTTGCTATAGTCTTGTAACAAATGACTTCTAGGGGTTAAGGGAGGTTTGTGTATATCTCCAAAGCATTATTTTCAAGTGCATGCTACCAAATCATTTCATATTAGAAGCAGAGCATTAGAATTCCCTCAATCCTCATCCTCCATCCCCACCCTGTTCTTAAGATGAGGAAGCTGAGCCACAGATACATTGAATAACCAAGATAACGCTAATGATAAGTTCAAGGATTGTCATGGAGACCAATGTCCAAAAACATATATTGCCTTTATTTATTTATTTCTAGAGACAGGGTCTCACTCTGTCACCCAGGCTGGAGTGCAGTGGTGTCATCGGAGCTCACTGCAGCCTCCAACTTCAGGACTCCAGCAATCTTCCCACCTCAGCCTCCCAAGTAGCTAGGACTACAGATGCATGCCACCCTGCCAAGCTAATTTTTCTTATTTTTTTGTAGAGACAGGGTTTTGCTATGTTGCCCAGGCTGGTTTCAAACTCATGGCCTCAAGCAATCTTCCCACCTCAGCCTCCCAAAGCACTGGGATTACAGGCATGAGCCACTGCTCCCGGCTGCCTTTAAATTTTTTTTTATCGGAAATGGAATTGTTAGCAACAAATACTGAAACATCTGTAGTTATTGTCTGTATTTGATAGATTTTTAAAGCACATATAACAAGAATATTTTCACTGTCCATCTTAACTACATAAATATTCTGCCTTTGAAAATTTCGCCTGACCACAAGGTGGCAGCAATGCAACCCACTACCGAGAGACTAAGAGCTGAATTGTGCAGTTTTCGTTGTATAACCAGGTCTTGCTTGTTATTAATAATTAGACAGTCTGTAGCTATCAGCAATGTTTCTGCAACACATTCTCCATATGATTTATTGGATTGTTCTGTCTTATGAAATTTTTTTTTGAAGTAGGTGGTATGTAAGAGCATTGTTACTCTAATGCAAAGATAGAATGTTAATTACCATAAATATTCAAAGAATATTTTCCTCTGGGAGGTGGCACACTTGCCACCTCTATCATCTTTTCAGAGTGGAACAGTATAGGTCACATACGATAATTAGATTGGATTCAAACTTCTCAACAGTTAAAAGACCATAGATAATGTCTTCCAAATACTAATGAAAAATTACTTTCAACATAGAATTCTATACCCAGCCATGCTATGAAACAAGTATGAGGATGAAATAAAAACATTTGTAGACAAATAAGGCCCCAGACTTTTATTTCCTATGGTTGGTAAGCTATTGGAGGATTGTTCCACAAAAAAAAAAAAAAAGGACAGAAAACAGGAGAATGAACCCAGGAAAGATGAAAAGAAACAACCAGGATGATAATATCCCAGGATGACAAGTATGCACCAAATGTCCAGGGCAACCACACCAGAAGGAAGTAGTGTGACTCACAAGGTAGACACATCCATACCGTCCGTCATCAAACCTTAATCCTAACTTTTGGAATACGAGAGGATGTGCCCCAAATAAACAATGGAGTAGATGAAGGAAGAGGACAGCATCCAGCAAACAGGACTGCAGCTCCATAGAACAGCATCATTGCAATGACGATGAAGGGAAGTGTGATGGTAACAGCTGTGCAGAAAACGTAGAAAGTACCAGAAAGGAGAATGGAGGTCTCCAAGCCAGATAGCTCCAAGAATATATTGGAAACAGTGGATGATCTGATGTCACTAACCTTGTGGAAAATCATATTGGCAAGCTATTGGATAGTGTGGGAAGATTTGGCAATAAAAGTAAAAAGAAAAAGAGAAAAGGCAGCTACTAACTTTGAGGAGGAAGAGTGAAAAAGGAAATATTACTAAAGTATGTTACAATGCACAGTCTGTATAATATTTGCATAAGCATAATAATGTAATAACTAACTATGGACTTAACCAAACATTTTAATACCACTATATTGGGAGCTTGGAAAAGGGAAGCAGAGAGGATGACTGTGTAAGAGATGAATTTTTATTACAGGTTGAGTATCCCTTATGCAAAATACTTGGGACCAGAAGTTTTTGCATTTTGAATTTTTTCAGATCTTGGGATATTTGCACATATGTAATGAGATGTCTGGGGGACAGGAGCTAAGTCGAAACACAGAGTTCATTTACGTTTCACATAAACCTTATACACATGGCCTGAAGGTAATTTTGTACAATATTTTAAATAATTTTTTGCAAGAAATAAATTTTTTGTTAAGTGTATATATGTGAAATTTTTCGCTGGTGGAATCATGTTGGTGCTCAGAAAGTTTTGGGTTTTATTTTGGAGCATTTTGATTAGGAATGTTCAACTTATACTATCATAAGAAGTCCATAGAAACTGTTCAAAAATGGGTCAAAGAAAGCTACATTTACACATCCTATAGAAATATGTATAGAAATATGGAGAGGTGTAAATCCTTAAGGAGCAGCTAAATGGATTAAAAAAGAGGATCGCATATGGGGAGGGGTTCATGGGAAGGGGTAGAGCAGGGAGTTGTACTTTGTTTTCAACTTTTTAAAATAATTAGATATTTTAAATCTATATGTACATGTTGCTTTGATAAAAAGGACCTTTTAAAGCACCTACAACAATGTCTGGCAAGTGGTGTATGATGAATACCAGTCATGGCAAATTGATCACATTACCTTTATATCTTGCTTTTTCTCTGCCCAAGGAAAACGTGACATGAAATCGTCCAGTGTGTCCACAATGGCATCAACTTGACATTGTTCCGTGTCTGTTTTTCCAGCCAAATCTATGGAATAGAGAGAGGCCCACCAATATGTTCAATTTAATTTACTATATGAAAACTTTGGTGTTTAACAGTGTATTCATATGACTGAATGTCAAGCAATATAAAACAATATCCAGTGAAGACTAGTTTCCACCTCTGCCCCATCGACCTCATTTTGTTTCCTACCTACCTCTCTTATTAGTAACCACTTTTATTAGTTTCTTATATGTTCTTCCATTGTTTCTTCATGAAAACACAAGCAAATAAGAATATATATCCCACTAGATCTGCCCCCTCCCCACATGTACCCTGTAGACCTTTCTTTACAAGTACCTAAAAAGGGCGTCCTTGGTCTTTTTTTCAGCTACATGGGATTCTTTGAAGTAGATGTACCACAATTTATTTATCTAGCCTCAACTGATTAACTTTGTTCCCAATCTTTTGCTAATACAAGCAAAACTACAATAAATAACCTGTAATATATTATAATTTATTTCATCAAATTTTTTTTTTTTTTTTTTTTGAGACAGAGGCTCGATCTTTTGCCCGGGCTAGAGTGAGTGCCGTGGCGTCAGCCGAGCTCACAGCAACCTCAAACTCCTGGGCTCAAGCCATCCTCCTGCCTTAGCCTCCCCAGTAGCTGGGACTACAGGCATGCGCCACCATGCCCGGCTAATTTTTTCTATATATTTTTTTTAGTTGTCCAATAATTTCTTTCTAATTTTAGTAGAGTCAGGGTCTCGCTCTTGCTCAGGCTGGTTTCAAACTCCTGAGCTCAAACAATCCGCCCGCCTCGGCCTCCCAGAGAGCTAGGATTACAGGCGTGAGCCACCGTGCCTGGCCTATTTCATCAAAATTATTTTTATTTTTGCAGACAATTTTTTATCAGGAGCATTTGTTTTCTGCCTAGAGACTAAACGTTTAAAATAATAAAGGTTTTTTTTCTTCCCTGTCATTTTTAATCATTATTTTTGCTAATAAATCATTGGCCTTCCTAAATATTTTCTCACTGATGTCAATTTAAAATGCTTCAGCATATATTCTAAAATGGATTGCTTTTGTACAACTGTATAAATTTACTAAAAATCAAGGAACTGTATACTGATAATGGGTGAATTGTGTCTAAATTATAGCTCAACAAAGCTGTTAAAAGTGAAAGAAAATGCTTGAATGATTGAGAGTTCCTCTGTAAACCATATTTTTTGTGTGTGATATTCAAAAGTTGATTCTTCTTTCTGACTTTGAAAAGTCTTTAGAATTCTATCACACGCTCTCCTCACTCCTCACACTGCCCAGGTTCAAGTCTTCCTCTTGAAATTCTAGGTATCCTTTTCAGGCTCAACTCAAATGTCATTTTCACCTCAAAGCCTAATTTCCATAGTGATAAATCTTCTCCGTTGACTTCCAAACTTCTAAACTTCCAAAAACCTTCATTTGTTGAAATGTGTTAGTGTAACACAAATTTTTGTATTTTTAACATCTGTTACCTTGTTCCAAAAATGGGAGTCTAGTAATTACGGTGTATTTTATTTGTGCACTAATCATGTGTCTATGGCTTAAATAACAGTGGCGGTGGTGGGGGGGTGACAGGGTTGGGAAAAAGGTGATCCGACAGATTGATTAGAAAGAAAACAGCTTTAAAAGAAGCCAAAAGTAGCTTTTGACTCGAACAGAATGTGGGAAGAGTAAGAGGTGAGAAAGAAGACAGTGAGCATGGGATGGGAGAAAAGGCATTGGGCAAAGACAAGAACGTTTTCTATTGTTTCTCGTCAATGTCATGGGTGCAGATGCTAACAAAACAATATAGAAGCCAACTGCCTGCACAAAGATGCCTCAGATGGCACTCAGTGGAGACAAAACTCCCTTTCTATTTTTTTCAACATAATTTGAATGAAGGACATCTTTGAGTACATGATTTTAATAATCTAAGGAATTTCAACCTCCATATGCCGTATGTATTTCCTGCTAACTAATTTTCTCCGATAATTTATAATACACATACTAGCAAAAGTTTGGGTTGAGACACACCTGTCTAATTTTTCAGTAAAGTTCCAAAAAGGTCTTGAGGGGCAAAGAGGTTTGGGGCAGAAGGAGCAGGAGGCAATATGAAATAAGATTGTCTGATTGTCCGTAGGGTCATGGAAAGTGAAATTGATACAGATGGCACATTGATACTTTTCTAGTATTTCATTCCATTCTTATTTGTGCTATAGTGGTCAATAATTGGGTTATTTAATGAGTATTGAAGACATATCACATACTTTTTTCAGTTATCAAAAATCTTAAACACAATAAACGCGTTACCTGTGTTTTTCGTCAAGTATCTCGCTATTGCGAGGCTCTGGTGGAGGATGAGTCCATCGACTTCCAAAATGGGGATTTTGCCAAATGGAAGAGCTTAAACGAAAATGAGCAAAGAATCAACTTCATAACAAAACCAGGAGTTATAATACTTCCATTTTTACAGATAATTATAGAAACAAAGCATGATCTTAAAGTCATGGAATTCTTAAATATTTATTCTTAGAGGGACACTTGACAATCTCTAGTGGAATCTTTACATTTTCTAAGGTAAAAAAAAAAAAAAAGATGTTAGAAAACCTGCTGTAAAGTTAGTGACAGAGTGGATCTAAAACCCAGGTTTACAGTGATACGACATACTACACGATTCCCTGATATACGAACCATTTAACTTTTTAAAAACTTTTCAAGTTTTGTTAATTTTTGTGGCCTCAATCACAGATCACAATAATTATTATTAAAAACCATATTGAGTTATGATAAGGAATTTAGCCATAATCTTTTTTAAATTGATACATAATCATTACACCTATTTGTGGGATACATGTGATATTTTGATACATTCCTGCAATGTAGAAGGATCAAATCATGGTAAGCTAACATTTATCATTTCTTTGTATGGGGAACATTTCCAATCTTCTAGCCATTTTGCAATATACAATAGATTATTGTTAACTATAGTCACCCTACTGTGCTATCAAACACTAGAACTGATTCCTTCTATCTAACTTCATGTTTATACTTACTGACTAACCTCTCTTTATCCTCCTACCCAGCCTTCCCAGCTTCTGGTAACCATCATTCTACTCTCTATTTCCATGAGGTCAACTTTTTTAGCTCCTGCATTTGAGTGAGAACATGTGATATTTTTCTTTCTGTGCCTGGCTTCTTTTACTTAACATAATGGCCTTCTGTTCCATCCATGTTGCTGCAAATGACAGAATTTCATTTTTTATGGCTGAATTGTATTCCATTGTGTATACGTACCACATTTTCCTTATCCACTCATCCGTTGATAAACAGGTTAATTCCATATCTTGGCAATTGTGAATAGTGCTGCAATAAACATGGGGATGCAGGTATCTGTTTGATATACTGATTTCTTTTCCTTTGGATTAAATGCCGAGTAGTGGGATTGCTGGATTATATGATAGTTCTATTTTAGTTTTTTGAGAAACCTCCATAATGTTTTCCATAACGACTGTCTAATTTACATTCTGATCAACAGTGTCCAGCAGTACCTTTTTCTCCGCATCCTCAACCAGCATTTTCTGTTCTTTCTTCTCAGAATTTATTTGGAAGTTGGACCTGCTAAGCCAACTGAGCCTCAGTTTTCCTTATTCTTTCTCATTTCATTTTCCATTTTTTGCCCTATTGTATTTTTCTGGGGGATTTCCTTATTTTTTTATCATCTTATTTTCAAGAACAATTTGTCTCTAAACATTCCTTTTTATAGCAGCCTGTTCTTGTTTCATTAGAAGAGCTAATATATTCTCTTAGCTTTCTGAGGATTTTGTAACATTTTGGAAGTTTTTTTTTGCTAAATCATCTTGGTTTCCTCAGAACTGGCTTTTATTCCCTGCTGCTTCGTTTAGATCTATTTCATAGTAGAGACTGCTCTCAAATATCTATTGATTTTTGGCTTGCTTTTCCTGTTTTAAAGGGCAAAGAACTAAAAGCTAACTGGCCCATTTCATTGAGAAACCTCCCTCGTTCAGTATCTGTTAGACATTTCTCTTCAGCTGGTCAGCCTCCCCAGAGAGAATGTCTACAGTTTTTGCCTGAGGGATTTTAACCTGGTTGCAGCGTTCTGATTGTAGACCAGGGGAAAAGGCGTATGGGTCTCACCATTTAGTTTCTAGACTTCCATTTAATCTGATCTTTATTACAGCATTGTGTCTTCAGACATGCCTGTTGTCCTAGAATCCTCGGGTCCATCCTCTCCTGAGAGTAACCTCCACGCTTCTTCCAGGGACGTGAAGGGATCTGGTGGTCACACTTCTTCACATCCTTCCAGTCAATCCTCTGTTAGCTCAACTTTTCGAGTTATGTGCTGCTACTAATTCCTGAGCCTTTTTCAGGGTCTCTGGGGTGATTCAGCTTGCCTTCTCCTCCTCCAGCCTCATTTGAGCTTACGGGCCTACTAAGGCACTTGACCATTCTTTGGCCTGCTTTCTATTAATTGCTTCCAGACTATCGTATTCACATGCAAGCTTTAGTTCTTTGTCCTTATGGGCTTTTACCTTGTTGAAAAAGTGCTTTAATGTTATTAAAGGAGAGAAAAAAGTTTTAGGAAAGAGAAAATGTATACACATGCGCACAATCTTCCTTTCTCCAGGAAGAACTTATTAATAAAATATCCAGTGATGGAATGCGTCGAATGGAGATTCAGTTCTAGGATCCAGCAGAAGGGACATCGTGAAGAATTTCAAATGTTAAAGAGCATTGCTGAACTGGATGGCAGATTAGACCAAGTACCATCCGTAATGGAAACTGCTTCTTAGTACCTGTTTTTCCCCTTTTTCTCAAAGTAAAAAAACCCCGGAGTTTTAGCTGGACAAATGGTTATCCACAATAAAGTCAACATTTCCCAGCTTCCTTTGCAGTGATATGTGACCACGTGACTAAGTTCCTGCCAAGTGACATATGCAACCTCCTGCTCATGCTGTTAAAAGGAAGGTATATGCCGCCTCCATCCTTTGCACTTGCCACGAGCTAGAGAGTGGAAGGAGAGTGAAGTATCTTACAACGTGTAAGTAAGACAACTAATTAGCAGATCAACAAGGAAGAAGAAGCCAAAGCTTTGACAACTTCATGGAGCAAAATCACTATACCAACTTGAGTTCTCATGCAAATGAAATTTCTGTCCACTTTAAGACAATTATATGTTGGGTCTCCGTCTATTAAATCATTTGAAACTATATCCTAACCATCACGAACTTTAAGATCCCTTTCAACTCTAAGAACCTATGAAAATATTAAGAAGATGCAGAAATTCCATTTTCAATAACATAATGAGAAGTCAAGGTAGACTAGGGTAGGAGACACCCAAAGAACTTATATTGAAAAGCTAAAAGGCAAAGTTTGTGATATGTAATATCCCTGCCTGCACCTTGCTATTCATCTTCGCCTAATAAATTAGTGGATAAAATCAATGTTCACCTATTCTGTGTTCACCCTCTTAAAATTCCACGTACAAATTCGGATACCGGAAGAAACATTTGGATATTCATGGTAAAATTTCATGAAGATAGGAAATCAGATACTCTGTCCCAACAGAGAAGAGGTCTCTGCTAAGAAAAAGAGTGATTGTAGGGGCAATGACTTGCCCCTAAGAAACTCATGCTTCCAAGAGGCACATGGCAATTTATTGTTAATATACCGATTATCGTAGTAGTATTTGCTATTGGCATTGTCTGGTGCCTATAACTCGGGCTTGGTATTAAATTGACCTGGGTTTGAAACTCAGCTCTACTTGGTAAGGTTGTGAGACTGGAAAAATTACCTAAACTCTGAGCACTTCAGCTACCCCAACTATAAAGTCGAGACAATAATACATCTTATAAAGCTTTACACTGGTGTATCTTTCCATTCTCTTTCTGTGAGATTTGTAGTTTCACCTCTAATAGGAAAATTGCTGGGTTACAGAGCATTTATTTAGTTTACCTGAAGTGCTGCTTCTCAATTTAAAACTATGTGACATTCATAAACATTCATTTTTTTCATCTGAGGAAAAACAAAACGTTGTGAAAGCACATTCTCCCTACATTTTCATGAACCATTATTGGTGCTACTTACTTGATTTAATTCCAGGCCAGTCAGCTTGTTCTATTCTGTGGTCTTCATACGCTATGTCCAAATAAGCAAATATGTAACGAATAATTTCTGCTCTCCCCCTCATGTTGAAATAAGTGAGTTTGTAGTTTGGCATGGTGCGATTCTGGAAAGAGAAAAAGGGAGGGATTGCTTTAACAGCCCTCTAGAGATGTCTCAGAATCTGCCTTTGGGGACTTTTTGGGAAAACTTTATGGTGTCTCTTGAGATAACTGGAGATAATAGAGGATATTTCAAAACCAAAATTATAAATCACTATCTAATAACATATGGGAAAACGATATAAATAAGATCATGTCTCTCCTTCTCTCTCTCCTGCTATGTGAGTTGGAACATTCCAGTGAAATAACGAAATGATTAAGAGGGTATTATTACACACAAACCTTCAGAGGATGGAGTAAAAAAACTTTCCATTTTAAGATGTTTTGCCCTGTTTTTAGTCACTTTACTGTGTGGTGTTTGACATTATGTCTGACTTGTTTGCTCTAGTGACACAGCTCAGAGGTTGTGAGGACAGCTGTGGAGGAACTGTCAGGGCAAGGCACATGCAAGAGGAATGTGAACCATGTCCCTGTTGACCCGTCACCCCCTCTCTCCCCTCACCGGTGGCCTTTCCCTCTAGGCATCAAAGGTTGGGGAAGGCTGGGGACAGTGGCTCACACCTGTAATCCTAGCACTCTGGGAGGCAGAGACAGGTGGATTGCTTGAGGTCAGGAGTTCGAGACCAGCCTGAGCAAGAGCGAGACCCCGTCTCTACTAAAAATAGAAATTAGCCAGGCATGGAGGCGCATGCCTGTAGTCCCAGCTACTCGGGAGGCTGAGGCAGGAGGATCGCTTGAGCCCAGGAGTTTGAGGTTGCTGTGAGCTAGGCTGATGCCACTGCATTCTACCCAGGGTGACAGAGTGAGACTCTGTCCCCCCAAAAAAAAGTCTTGGGGAAACCTTGCTGTGAGTCCTCTCTTCCTGCATCCATGCTGCTTGCTGGGTTTTACTGGGTTGCATGCACCACACAAACGCACCCCATCTAGGGACCTTTGCTGGGATGGGACAGTCTTCCTCCATTTCCTGTAGAGGAAGGAACTAAACTTATCTTACATTTCAGAAAGTTTGCTGATACCAGCTATATTAGTTAGGTCATTATAATTTCGTGAGTTTTTGGTGATTTATTTCATTTCGCTTTCATTGTTTATAAACAGTTAATGATTTTAAGTACTTATAGTAGAATGTATTGTAATGTTATTACAATGATCAGGCAACTGAGAAAGAAACATTTTCATTTGAAATTCAATTCTTCCACTTATCATAGCAAAACAGCAGGTGGGGAATAATAAAAATATAAATAAAAATGGAAAAAAAAGGAAAAACAATTCTTCCACTTAGTTGCTGGGCTAGTTAATAAAATCTCCCTGAATTTCAAAGCCCACTTTGTATAAAATAGGAATACTAATATGGATTTGGAGATCAATGAGGCAATTCATGTAAGGTACAGAGCGCAACGCTAAAACTCAATAATCATTAGTATTGGTAATAATAATTATTATTAATAGCATTGGTAACAATAACTTTGAACTCTTATTGTATAGTCAATAATAATAAATGCCGTGAAGACCACACACTAAAGATAAATAATAATTATAGTAACTAAATGAATAAAAACAGATAATGACAATTATTCATTTAAAGTGGTGATTTTATTTATTTATTTTTTTTTTTTGAGACAGAGTCTCACTCTGTTGCCTGGGCTAGCTCACAGCAACCTCAAACTCCTGGGCTCAGGCGATCCTCCTGCCTCAGCCTCCCGAGTAGCTGGGACTACAGGCATGCGCCACCATGCCCGGCTAATTTTTTCTATATATTTTTAGTTTCCCAGCTAATTTCTTTCCCTTTTTAGTAGAGACGGGAGTGTCACTCTCACTCAGGCTGGTCTCGAACTCCTGAGCTCAAACAATCCGCCCGCCTTGGCCTCCCAGAGTGCTGGATTACAGGCATGAGCCACCGCGCCCGGCCTAAAGCGTTGATTTTAAATCTTTTATTCTCTGTTAAGGCAGTCTTTCCAAGAATATTAATGGAATATTAGATAAAAAGAAAAGCTGAGCTCAAGCCTCAAAACAAAGTTCCATCAGAAATCACGTCACACAAAAGGTCAAACATATCATAAATCATAAAATTCTAGGTTGCCGAGTTCTGGCCTCAAGTTCATATATTCCTGGAGTCTACCCAGGGAGAGGATGATCTGGAAATAACTGTCCGATTGCCTATCTAGACTGTCCCAAGTTCAGCAAATGACAGTGACGGCAATTCTCAGCAAATCTATTTCTCTGGCCCTGGTTTCCACGTCCAGATGTTGTGGAGTGAAACTGGCTGTCCCTGTTAGAAACAGAGAGCCACCCCCAACCGTTCTGTGTCCTGCCTCACTTACATTTGCCAGTCCAGTCCCCCCAAGGGACATGTGGCACACACCAGACATATATAATGAATATGTGGGGAAATGTTCTCTCAAGAGAGAATTGACTAAACTAATAAAAATTCCACAATTTACAGCCCCAGATTTCTTTGGGGGAGAAACATACATAGAATGGAGCTCAAATTTGGAGGCCTAAATGAAGTGCCCATCAGAACAATGGAACTATTTTCCAAGTTACTTAGGAATGTCCAGCTTAGACATAAATGGTGGGAAAGATAAGAAAGCATGAAAATCATAAATAAAAACTGTAAAGTAAGTTCCTTCTGAAAAAAAAAAAAATATTTTATGTGATCATAATTAAGGGATCATTCTTATCTAGGAAATAGAAAACATAATTGTTATAATTTCTTGACATATTTGTTTTCAATCTCAAAAGAAAAAAGCCTACTGAGTGGAGAGTGTCATTTTCACTGCAGTTTGTGTTTGAAAAGCATTTTATATAAATTTTTTGACTTTTGTTGGCATAGTCAATGTTTCCATAGCACAAAAAATTATATATATTTTCCTTATAAACGTATGGGTTTAGATGCATATACATCCATTATGACCAGCATTCAAAATTCAACACACAGCTTTTTCTCATTTCAATACTACGTAAATATCAGGGTCCACTTCCTGAATTTTGTATGAAAACAAAAGGGTTGTTTGTGTTTTCATTTTGTTTTGTTTCTGAGACAGAGTCTCACTCTGTTGCCCTGGGTAGAGTGCAGTGGCGTCATGGTAGCTCACTGCAACCTCAAATTCCTGAGCTCACACGATCCTCCTGCCTCAGCCTCCTGAGTAGCTGGGACTACAGGCACACCACGACACCCGCCTAATTCTTCTATCTTTAGTAGAGACAGGGTCTCACTCTTGCTCAGGCTGATCTGGAACTCCTGAGCCCAAGCAATCCTCCCTCCTTGGCCTCCCAGAGTTCTTGGATTACAGGTGTGAACCACCATGCCTAGCCAAAAGGGGTTGTTTTTTGTTGTTGTTAATTTACAGAATCATGCTATTTTATATTGTACTCAAATAAAGAAGACATTTAAAACGTCTCAGCATAGGTTGGTAGCTATCTATATTTCTCTGTAAACGTATCTTTAAATCTAAGATTTGGCAGAGGTCCATGAACATCTGACAAATACTTATCTTTTAGAATATCCTTTCAACAGTTGTGACTCATTAATGAAACTGTGCTTGTACATGACATTCCTGTAGTTATTTGCAAAATTATATTTTCTGTGTATCCCAGGAATGAAAGATGTTACATCAAAACATCCATCTGTATAATAAACTCCATTAATAGATAAGAGAAAAACCATAAATCATACTATCATCTCAACAGATAATAAATGCTTACGAAAGCATTTTATAAAGTTATCATTCATTTGTGATCAAAACTGTTAGCAAAAAAGAAAACCCTCTTAACAAACTAGGAATAGAAGAAAACGTCCTTAACTGGATAAAAAGTCTCTACTACAAACGTAGAGCAGACATCCTACATAATGGAGAACCCATAGAAGCATATTCTTTAATGCCAGGAATAACGAGAATAACGCTGTTACTTCCACAGAATGGGACTGGACTATGGTTCTGAGACACTAGAGGAAAAATACGCATAATTAGATCCGAACTTTACATCATACCCAGAAATAGCGTCTGGGTTATTTGGCTATGATTTGACTATCCTGTCAGAAGGATTCCAGGATCAGTCTGGTCTCTTATTCCTTGTTGGGGTCCCTTTTTGAACTCTTCCTCTGTCACTCTGAAACCGCTTTCACAGATAAAGGGGTGCAAGGCAAGAACTGTGGTAAGGGCCTAGCTAGAAGTAATGATAATAATTAGTCACTGTCCCCCTGTTTGCTTCTCTATAATTCCCACTCTGGAGCCCCGCAGTTGGTGGTCAGAAAGATCCTTAGCTTTCTCCATAGATAACATCACCTTTTTGAAACCCAGGGGTATTTTCTGAGATATCTTCCAGGTCCCGCATTCCAGGGAAACAGCTGACCCACCCAGACCAGCGTCCCATACCAAGGGACCCAACTGGTCTTGTGACCCCCACCCAAGAACCTGGTCAGCAAAGAAGACAATTTCTACAACCCTATGGTTCCACCCTAAACCCAGCCAATGAGCAGACTCAATTGCCTACACCGCGCTGTCTTTAAAACCCTGTCTCCCAAATTCTCGGGGAGGCAGATTTAAGAAATTCCTCCCGTCTCCCCATTTAGCACTACGCGGAATTAAAAACTCTTTCCCTACTGTAAACCCTGCTGTCTCAGTGTATTGGCCTGCTCTTGGGCAGTGGGCAAATGACACTGGTTGGGTGGCAACAATTCTGTGTTAAGAATCTCACGTAGGAAAAACTGCATGTACTTTCTGAAATAATACAGAAACATAAAGTTAAAAAGTTGATCATGCTTGAAGATCTCTTTTACACCTATAATTAATCCCTAGCCTTGGACTTCAAAGAAAGTTACGTAAGGTTCTTGAGGCAGCAGATAGATAAAAAGCTCATTTAGAATCTCAAAGAACACATGAAAGAATGGATGATTAATAAATACCCTGGATAGAAACTTCCGCATATGCTAAACTTGTTAGGAAATAAAATATTTTACAGGGAAGTTAATAGTGATTTTGAAAAGTCCTATCTTGGA